CCAACACCTAAGCGCTGCATCAACAAGTCTACGCATAATTGATTTTGATGTAGTATAGGTTTCCAAAAAATTGATCGAAAGAGAGAAGAAAAGTACGATATGTGGAGAGGAGAAAAAAAGCTAGAACAGTGATTTATTCTCAGAAAAATGTGTTACTTGTAAAATGTGTGTCAAAAGGATATAATTTTTAAAAAACTGTCTTTTGTAAACCGTTATGGCGATATATATTTATTTAAAAGAAATGAGTAGATAATTTGTAAATCGATATATATATAATTTCATATGAAAGAATGTATGTACACACAGAACAAGATATATAGTAAAACCACTTGACATAACAACTTTATACTTGGTTCCAAAACTCTTATGCATATCGCCAGCTAAATACCCTAGGGCAAGAACATGGTCGGTCCAAATAAGTATTATAATAATTAACCACTATTATTAATCAAATCATTTAGCTTATAATATATGTCATTTAGTTCTCATCTCAAAGTCACAACCCATCCACTTCCCCTATAAATACACGCTTAACACTCTTCAATTTCTCCACCACTACTACTCTCTCTACATACCTCTCAACAATTAAAAGAGTTTCCTATTAAAGAACCCATGGCTCTTAGAAACTCTCTTGCTCTCTTCCTTCTCTTCAACATCCTTTTCTTCACCCTCACTTCAGCCACCCGCAGTACTAATTGTCCTCCGCCACCGCGCAAACACAACAAACACAAGCCTAACCCACCAACTACCACCGGGACTTGCCCTTTAGATACCATTAAACTTGGTGTTTGTGTTAACGTGCTCAACTTGTTGAACGGTGTGACTCTAGGAACTCCTCCCGTGACTCCATGTTGCAGCCTCATCAAGGGTTTGGTTGATCTTGAAGCTGCGCTTTGTCTTTGCACTGCCCTTAAGGCTAGTGTTCTTGGCATCAACCTTAACCTTCCCATCAACCTTAGCTTGCTTCTCAATGTTTGCAGCAGAAAGGCACCACGTGGCTTCCAATGTCCTTAAGAAAATCAACACGTTGATATATAATAAGTTGCCAACTATGAAAAATCTTGAATCTTTTATCTTTGTGATTTCGTTTGTGCTCGTTTATTTCAATTATTTGTGAAGTTCCTCATGAGGAACATCAATGTGTTTGTGTTGTTTACTTTTTATTGTATCGCGAGAGCTCCTTGCTTGAGTCTCTATTGTAATTTGTTTATTTGTCCTATTGAATAAAATATCAATGATTTGCACTTTTTTTTTTTTGTCAACATGGCTTTTTCAGTCTCTATAGTAAACTTATAATTTTCCTCGCTTTACTAAATTAGAATATGACCCGCGCATTCGCGCGAGATTTTGTTATACTTTTATTTAGTTTAATAATTATTTATTTATGGATTTAGTATTTATGTTATGATAAAAACAATTAAATATTTGGTATAGAAAATAATATTTGATTTGAAATCAAATAAATAAATATTTTTAATTAGTTTTAAAGATGCATGAAAATATCAAAGTTATCATTTAAAATTTATTTGTTTAAAACTTTGTTATGTACATATATTAGGCCATAGATAAATCAGATTATCTAAATAATCGATAACGAATTTGCAGATAAAATTTATCAATCATTTTCTAATTTAAATTTATAGTAATATGAATTATTAATCATAGTTGGTTTCCATATGTCTTCACAATGTCTCTTTGTTATTATCTTATACTTAGCACTTCACAATTTCTTTAGTAATGTGGCATATGGAATATACTGAACAACATTTTGTTTGCTTGTTGTTTACATTCTTTTCAATCGATGAATGGGAAAGCTTATCTCTTCATCAGTAAGGTGTAGGTTTTCTTCTTCAACTTTGATTTAAGATTTTGCTAGTCAGAGTTGAAGAGATCCGTAGTTTCTTTTAAAATAGTTTTATGTTTGTTTTGTCATTTATCTTCGTCTAGTAAGCTTATATATATTTTATTTTTTGTTCATTGTAGAAAAATAGTTAAGATTTTAAGATACGATTTCTTAAACGTTTGTCTTCCTAATGTGTGGTTGAATGTAAGATTTTGGTTTTTTTTTAACTACAAACTTTTTAGTAAGAAAAAAGTTTTCATATTTCATGGAACATATAACTTTTAAAAATAATCTAAATATTTTTTTCCGTAACATTTTATTACGTCAGTTGATTTTTAATAATTTTTTTAATTATAAAATCCATACACACATTTCTTTAGGTTTTTTTTATATGTGTAATATATAACTTTGGTAAAACAAAATTCATATTATCATTACTACTAAAATCATGTATAGTCTTGTATTTA